ATTTAGAAAGAAATCAATATATCTTTGGTTCCATCAGTGATTAAATTCTCCCTGCTACTGCACCATAACCAGTAAAAGGGGTGAGGAAGAGAATGAAAAATAAGATTTTGTGCAAAAAATTAAACATTGTGTTGATAAAACTATCACCATACTGGGAGAATGCACTGTTTATCTTGATTAAGGAATGTATATGTTGATATTTGTCTTAATCAATATATTTACTATGGAAATTTAAACAAACCAATAGTGACTTAAACACTTGATAGTCACACAAGCACTATGGGAAATCGATGGGGTAGAAGATGGTGTCTTTTACATGGTATTTGTGAGGTGAGAACTCTGTCTTAAAAAACAGTAGTAATTCACTTGATGCATTACAGAATTATTTTATCTGTCTAAGAATTAATGTATATTTAGGTTTAATTATATATTTCCCAAACCAGAATTTTGTTTTATGTGTGCACTCTTTTACATATTGTTCTTTGTCATATTGGTTAGGAAAGCCGCAATAACTCAGTGCACCTTGTGGCAGCAAGAGTTGTATGCTCCCCAGGGAGTTGAGATTGATAATAAGATGTGCCGTTGAGATTGACATCCAATGATTGATGGAAAAATATCAGCTCCTTGAGCATGCACTAGTGCGTGGATATGTGCGCTATATAAATATCCAATAATAATAATAATAATAAATAATAATATTACAAATGCATTGTTGTTATCACGTCCATTTAATTTTGACTGTGATTTAAGTGCTTAAAATTATTTCCATTATGATTGTAATTTGTTATACTATTACCAATTATATTATTTAATGTACAATTTGATAATCATAATTTTATCTTTCATACCACTCAAGGTATTCAAGCGTTCTCTCACTCCAAATGTCATTTTATACTATCATGATGTCAATCTCTGGATCATCTGGTGAAGAGGCGACTAACAGGATCGGGTGGTCAGGCTCGCTGACTTGGTTGACACATGTCATCGGTTCCCAATTGCACAGATCGATGCTCATGCTGTTGATCACTGGATTGTCTGGTCCAGACTCGATTATTTACAGACCGCTGCCATATAGCTGGAATATTGCTGAGTGTGGCGTTAAACTAAACTCATTCACTCACTCATCTGGTGAATATTTGTGAATTGTTGCTGAGTTGGGTATTAAACAACCAACAAACAAATTGTAGCAACAACACTCAAGTTTGGGTTCATCTGCATTCTTAACACAGTGGTAGAGTAATAGTGAGTGAGTGAGTTTGGTTTTACACCTCTTAGCAATATTCCAGCAATATCACAGCAGGACACCAGAAATGGGCTTTGCACATTGTACCCATGTGTGGAATTGAACCCGGATCTTTGACATGACGAGTGAACACTTTAACCACTAGGCTACCCCACTGTCCCAGTAAAGCAATGGATATGAGAAAGGAATGATGGTTTAAGTGTGCTGATGCTTAAATTGCATTTTGAAATGTATTCTGAATTGTAAGGTCTTCACAAACCATGATGTTTAATGGAAGATTAAGCTGCCAAAGTTAAAAAGAAGCACTGTTTTGCCCAGACATTAGACATGAATGCAATACTTAATTGCTAAACAATTATTCATGAATAATTGCCACTTTTTTCTGGCTACCAGATTTTGTATTCAACCTTGTGTGCAAATCATTGTGTGCAGTGACAAAAACAAGGCTTTTCATTATCAAAGGATGTATAGGGGATGTATTGTACAATGTCTTATCTGCCTCATGTGGCAGGGTAGACAGAAGTTGCTAAGACCATACCTAGACTTGCCACTTTGGGAAATACATAAACAGGCACATGGTTGTGACAGAGCAAGGATCATCAATATTCAGGTAAACCTTTGATGCATAATCAGGAACTGCAAATCCTGGCAAGGTTACAGGAGGAACCTCTTCCAAGTGATTTTACCGTAATACCAACAATCATATTTATTGTAATACACAGTTTCCAAAATGAGAACTTTTAAAAAGAGTGATAACTCACACTACCAACCTCCTGCCCCAACCCTCACAGTTATATTGATACTGTGTGGAACTTTTGTAGATCCGTTAATTCTTTAATGCATCTCAGCTCTGATAGTGGTAAATGGAAGATCAGTTAAAGTTTTCTGTACATGTCTTTTATGTTTAAAGAGGAACTGGAATAAGGAGATCCATTTAAAGTGGTATGAAAAAGCGTGGTGGTGGAATTGGGTTTAACGTCAGGCTTGAGAATATTTCGCTCATATGACGACGTGCATGCGTGTGTATGTGTATGTGCGGCTGCTTGTACTAGCCCAGACTGAAGCTGGTTTTATAGTGCTAGCCCACTGAGATACCATGCCGCAGTGAAGCATGAATACCCCACTCAGACACATTATACTGACTCCGAGCCGACCAGTCCTTGATGAACCCATTAATGCCGAGCGCCAGGCAGGGACCAACAAGTACCATATTTTAACGTCTTTTGGTATGACACGGTCGGGGATCGAACCCGCGACCTTCCGCCACTCCGGGCGGACGCTCTAACCACTACACCCCGGAGGCGGTCGTATGAGAAAGCATTAATGTCAGTTGAGATTTGGGTTCCTGTACACTGACAAGGGACCAGGGATGTTAGTCAGGGTCAGATCAACAAAGGGTTCATAGTGCTATGACGCCCATTAATGGGCATGTTGGGCGAGCTGTCTAAGGCACTAGGCTAGTGATCCAGTGAGTTTGGGGATGCTGGGATCGAGCCCACCTGTGACTGGGTGTAAAAACCTTGGAGTCAACTTTGTGTGCAGACTCTTTCAGTGTTGTCACAACTCCTAGTGTACAGTACACAACCTTGTGCACTTAAGAGAACACATCAATCTGTTGGTAAATGACCAGATGGTGGCCACATGAATACGTGGAAACACCTGGTTGCGGGTACAGCAATGTGCAGTAAAACCTAGTACTGTGACTATGTGTCCCAGTCCACCCAGCTGTGAATGGGTACCTCATCAGGATGGGAAAGCCACATTAACTTGGTGTGCCTAGTGGATGCACGAGTTGTATGATCCTGAGGCAGTTGAGATTTAAAAATACGATGTGCTGTGGAGATTGACATCCAGTGATCGAGGGAAAAACAAAGTGCTTTGAGCATGCGTATAGATGGGATAAACTATAGCACTATATAAATACCCATGTAATAATAATGATAATATGCCTATGAAAACTTATAGTCATGATAGTTTGTACGGACAGGAATTCTTTGTGGATTGGGACCCAGAACTGTTGGGTAAAGATTTTTTTAAATAGAGGTTAAGAAAGTGAAAAGCAAAAATAGGAAGACAAAAGGGAAAGGTAGACAAGAAGAAACGAATGTTAAATCAAGGAATGTAGTTAAGGCAGTGAAGATAGGAGACACAAGGTCAGTGACCTGGTTGAACACAGTATTTCAGTTATATCAATGGCATATCAGATTGGTGTGGGAGAAAAAGACAGGAATGATAAACTTTTACCACTTGGAGAAACTTGTCCTGGTGTTGTGCTTACATACGAAGAAACATTTATCTGGTGCCCAGACCTGCAATCTTAGCTTTGTAACATGTCAAAGGAACACATCTCTACACAGACAATTGCTGCATCCTTAGACAACTGGGTCATGCAGAGTCACATTGGTATAAATCAGCCCTATTGTAGTGACTGGAAATGGAGGGGATGGGAATTGCTGAAACAAAAGAGAAAGAAGAAGAGGAATGGGGAGGTGAAGAAGGAAAATTAGATAAATGGGGAAGGAAGTGAGAAAGGACAAGTGTATGGAAGTTGGATAATTTATCATAGAAAAGGCATATGGAGGAAGAAGAATGAAGAAGATATATGAACATCAGAGAGATATCAAGGGACAGGTAGGCAGAAGAGGGAAGAAGATGTATGGGCATTGGAGAGATCAAGGAAGAGGCAGAAGAGGGAAGAAGATGTATGGACAATGGAGGGATCAAGGAAGAGGCAGAAGAGGGAAGAAGATGGAGAGATTAAGGGAGAAGATGTATGGACATTGGAGAGATCAAGGGAGAGGCAGATAAAGAGAAGGGTAGAAGATGTATGGACATTGGAGAGATCAAGGAAGAGGCAGATGAAAGAGAAAGGGAGAAGATGTATGGACATTGGAGAGATCAAGGAAGAGGCAGATAAAGAGAAGGGTAGAAGATGTATGGACACTGGAGAGATCAAGGAAGAGGCAGATAAAGAGAAAGGGGGAGAAGATGTATGGACATTGGAGAGATCAAGGAGAGAGGCAGATAAAGAGAAGGGAGAAGATGGCATGGACATTGGAGAGATCAAGGAAGAGGCAGAAGAGGGAAGAAGATGGAGAGATTAAGGGAGAAGATGTATGGACACTGGAGAGATCAAGGGAGAGGCAGATAAAGAGAAGGGAGAAGATGTATGGACATTGGAGAGATCAAGGAAGAGGCAGATAAAGAGAAGGGGAGAAGATGTATGGACATTGGAGAGATCAAGGAAGAGGCAGATAAAGAGAAGGGTAGAAGATGTATGGACATTGGAGAGATCAAGGAAGAGGCAGATAAAGAGAAGGGGAGAAGATGTATGGACATTGGAGAGATCAAGGAAGAGGCAGATAAAGAGAAGGGGAGAAGATGTATGGACATTGGAGAGATCAAGGGAGAGGCAGATAAAGAGAAAGGGAGAAGATGTATGGACATTGGAGAGATCAAGGAAGAGGCAGAAGAGGGAAGAAGATGTATGGACATTGGAGAGATCAAGGAAGAGGCAGATAAAGAGAAGGGGAGAAGATGTATGGACATTGAGAGATCAAGGAGAGGCAGATACAGAGAAGGGGAGAAGATGTATGGACATTGGAGAGATCAAGGAAGAGGGACAGATAAAGAGAAGGGGAGAAGATGTATGGACATTGGAGAGATCAAGGGAGAGGCAGATAAAGAGAAGGGTAGAAGATGTATGGACATTGGAGAGATCAAGGGAGAGGCAGATAAAGAGAAGGGTAGAAGATGTATGGACATTGGAGAGATCAAGGAAGAGGCAGATAAAAGAGAGGGAAGAAGATGTATGGACATTGGAGAGACCAAGGAAGAGGCAGATAAAGAGAAGGGTAAGGAGAAGATGTATGGACATGGAGAGACCAAGGAAGAGGCAGATAAAGAGAAGGAGAAGACATGGACATTGGAGAGATCAAGGGAAGAGGCAGATAAAGAGAAGGGGAGAAGATGTATGGACATGGAGAGATCAAGAGAGGCAGATAAAGAGAAGGGGAAGAAGATGGACATGGAGAGATGGAGGAGAGGTGGAAGACTGGAAGAAGATGTATGGAGACATTGGAGGACCAAGAAGACAGAAGAAGGAAGAAGATGTACATGGACATTGGAGGATCAAGGAAGAGGCAGAAGACATTGGAAGAAGATGGAGAGATACCAGAGAAGGGGAGAAGATGTATGGACATTGGAGAGAGATCAAGGAGAGGAGGCAGAGAAAGGGTAGAAGATGGGGACATTGGAGAGACATGGAGAGGTAGAAAGAATGAGAGAGGAGAGGAGACAAAGAGAAGGGGAGAAGATGTATGGACATTGGAGGACCAAGGAAGGACAAAGATGGAGAAGAGAAGAGAATGGAAGATGGACATTGGAGAGACAAGGGAGGAAGATGGACAGAAGAGGGAAGAAGACATGGACACTGGAGAGACCAAGGAAGAGGCAGAGAGAAGAGACATGGAGGAAGATGTAAGGAGATGTATGGAGAGACAGGAGAAGGAAGAGACACTGGAGAGACCAAAGAGAAGGAAGAAGATGCATGGACACTGGAGAGACCAAGGAAGAGGCAGAGAAGATGGACACTGGAGAAGACAGATAAAGTGGACATGTATGGGAGAGACAGAAGTGGAAAGAGGAAGATGGAGAGAGGGAGAGAAGATGACATGGACACTGGAGAGACCAAGGAAGAAGCAGACAAAAGAAGGGAGGAAGAAGGACACTGGAGAGAGACCAAGGAGGACAGGCAGAGAAGACAGATGGACACTGGGAGAGACAAGGACTGGACTGAGAGACCAAAGAGAAGGGTAGAAGATGACATGGACATTGGAGAGACCAAGGAAGAGGAGAAAGATAAAGAGAAGGGTAGAAGATGTATGGACACTGGAGAGACCAAGGAGAGGCAGACCAAAGAGAAGGACATGGAGGTGGAGACCAAGGACAATGAGACATGGAACTGGAGACCAAGGAGAGGCATGGAGAGACCAAGGACAGAGGCAGACAAGAGAAGAGGAAGACATGGAGAGATGGACAGATCAAGGAAGAAGCAGAAAGGAGAAAGGAAGAAGATGAATGGACACTGGAGGAGACCAAGGAGAGAGAAGACAAGATGGACACTGAGACCATGGGAGAGGCAGACAAAGAGAAGGAGAAGACATGGACACTGGGAGACCAAGGGACCAAGGAAGAGGCAGACACTGGAGAGACCAAGGAGAAGATGGACATGGAGAGACCAAGGAGAGGCAGACAAAGAAGAAATGGAGACTGGAGATAAGACAAGGACACATTGGAGACACCAAGAAGAGGCAGACAAAGAGAAGGGGAGAAGATGTATGGACACTGGAGAGACCAAGGAAGAGAAGAGATGGACACTGGAGAGACCAAAGGCATGGACACTGGAGAGACCAAGGAGACATGGAGAAGGAGAAGACCAAGGACCAACTGGAGGACAAGGAGAGGCAGAGGACACAAGGACACTGAGAGGAAGACAAGGAGACAGATACGGAGACTGGAGAGAAGACATGGACACTGGAGAGACCAAGGAGAGGCAGGAGAGAAGACATGGAGACACTGGAGAGACCAAGGAAGAGACAAAGAGGAGACAGAGAAGGACACTGGAGAGACCAAGGGAGGCAGGACACAGACATGGACAAAGATGGACAAGGAAGAGGAGACCAAGGAAGACATGGACACTGAAGAGAGACAAAGAAGGAGAGGCACAGGACAAAGAGAAGGGAAGACATGGACATGAGAGACCAAGGAGGCAGACAAAGAATGGAAGAGAACTGGACACTGGAGACCAGGCAGAGAGATGGACAGAGACCAAGAGACAGACCAAGGAAGAGGCAGACAGACACAGAGAAGAAATGAAGACACTGGAGAGACCAAGGGAGGCAGATGGAAGAGAAGGAGAAGATGGACACTGGAGAGACATGGACAAGAGGCAGACACAGAGAAGGTAGAAGATGGACACTGGAGAGACCAAGGAGAGGCAGATAAAGAGAAGGGAGAAGATGGACATGGAGACCAAGGAGAGGAGACAAAGAGAAGGGAGAAGATGTATGGACACTGGAGAGACCATGGAAGGCAGATAAAGAGACACTGGAGAGAGGATGTATGGACATTGAGAGACCAAGGAGAGGCAGATAAAGGAAGAAGAAGATGGACACTGGAGACCAAGGAAGAGGTGAGAAGAAGAATGGACACTGGAGGACATGGAGAGAGACAAAGAGAAGGGCAGATGGAAGAGAAGGGGAGAAGAAGGAGATGATGGACATGGAGAGACCAAGGAGAGGCAGAGAGAAGGGTAGAAGATGTATGGACATTGGAGAGATCAAGGAAGGGACAGATGGAAGATAAGAAGGGAGGCAGACATGGACATGGGAGAGATCAAGGAGAAGATGGACAGAAGAGGAGGAGAAGACATGGACATTGGAGAGACCAAGGAAGAGGCAGATAAAGAGGGTAGAAGATGTATGGACACTGGAGAGACCAAGGAAGAGGCAGATAAAGAGAAGGGAGAAGATGGACATGGACATGGAGAAACAAGGAAGAGGCAGATAAAAGAGGGAAGATGGATGGACACTGGAGACCAAGGGAGGAGACATGAGAGAAAGAGAAGATGAAGATGGACACTGGAGAGACAATGGAGAGGTGGAAGAGAAGAGAAGATGTATGGACATGGAGAGACCAAGAGGATGGAAGACAAAGAGATGGAGAGACAAGGGAGATGGAGAGACAAGGAATGGATGGACAATGGAGAGAGGAAGGACATGGACATGGATGGAAGATGGACATTGGAGACCAAGGAAGGAGCAGACAAAGAGAAGGAGAAGATGGATGGAGAGACCAAGGAAGAGGCAGATAAAGAGAAGGATGGACATGGAGACTGGAGAATGGAGGACACTGGAGAGGAAGGAGAGGCAGACAAAGAGAAGGGTAGAAGATGGATGGACACTGAGAGATCAAGGAAGTGAGAAGGAAGAGGAGGATGGATGGACAGATGGAGGAGACAGAGGTAGAAGATGGACATGAGAGACAAGGAAGAGGCAGATAAAGAGAAGAATGGATGCATGGACATGGAGAGACCAAGGAGGCAGATAAAGAGAGGGATGGACACTGAGATGGACATGGAGGACAGAGGAAGAGGAAGGGTGGAAGACATGGACATTGGAGAGACCAAGGAAGAGGCAGACAAAGAGAAGGGGAAGACGTATGGACACTGGAGAGACCAAGGAGAGGCAGATGAGAAGAGAAGGGTAGAAGATGCATGGACATTGGAGAGACCAAGGGAGAGGCAGATAAAGAGAAGGGTAGAGAAGATGTATGGACATTGGAGAGATCAAGGAAGAGGCAGATAAAGAGAAGGGGAGAAGATGTATGGACATTGGAGAGATCAAGGAAGAGGCAGATAAAGAGAAGGGTAGAAGATGTATGGACATTGAGAGATCAAGGAGAGGCAGATAAAAGAGAAGGGTAGAAGATGTATGGACATTGGAGAGACTCAAGGAAGAGGCAGATAAAGAGAAGGGTAGAAGATGTATGGACATTGAGAGATCAAGGAAGAGGGAGATAAAGAGAAGGGAAGATGTATGGACACTGGAGAGATCAAGGGAGAGGCAGATAAAGAGAAGGGTAGAAGATGTATGGACATTGGAGAGATCAAGGGAGAGCAGATAAAGAGAAGGGTAGAAGATGTATGGACATTGGAGAGATCAAGGAGAGGCAGATAAAGAGAAGGGTAGAAGATGTATGGACATTGGAGATCAAGGAGAGGCAGATAAAGAGAAGGGTAGAAGATGTATGGACATTGGAGAGATCAAGGAAGAGGCAGATAAAGAGAAGGGGTAGAAGATGTATGGACATTGGAGAGATCAAGGAAGAGGCAGATAAAGAAGGGGAGAAGATGTATGGACATTGAGAGATCAAGGAAGAGGCAGATAAAGAGAAGGGTAGAAGATGTATGGACATTGAGAGATCAAGGGAAGAGGCAGATAAAGAGAAGGGTAGAAGATGTATGGACATTGGAGAGATCAAGGGAGAGGCAGGGTAGAAGATGTATGGACATTGGAGAGATCAAGGAAGAGGCAGATAAAGAGAAGGGGAGAAGATGTATGGACATTGGAGAGATCAAGGGAGAGGCAGATAAAGAGAAGGGTAGAAGATGTATGGACATTGGAGAGATCAAGGGAGAGGCAGATAAAGAGAAGGGTAGAAGATGTATGGACATTGGAGAGATCAAGGAAGAGGCAGATAAAGAGAAGGGTAGAAGATGTATGGACATTGGAGAGATCAAGGGAGAGGCAGATAAAGAGAAGGGTAGAAGATGTATGGACATTGGAGAGATCAAGGAAGAGGCAGATAAAGAGAAGGGTAGAAGATGTATGGACATTGGAGAGATCAAGGAAGAGGCAGATAAAGAGAAGGGTAGAAGATGTATGGACATTGGAGAGATCAAGGAAGAGGCAGATAAAGAGAAGGGGAGAAGATGTATGGACATTGGAGAGATCAAGGAAGAGGCAGATAAAGAGAAGGGGAGAAGATGTATGGACATTGGAGAGATCAAGGAAGAGGCAGATAAAGAGAAGGGGAGAAGATGTATGGACATTGGAGAGATCAAGGAAGAGGCAGATAAAGAGAAGGGTAGAAGATGTATGGACATTGGAGAGATCAAGGGAGAGGCAGATAAAGAGAAGGGGAAGAAGATGTATGGACATTGGAGAGATCAAAGGAAGAGGCAGATAAAGAGAAGGGGAGAAGATGTATGGACATTGGAGAGATCAAGGAAGAGGCAGATAAAGAGAAGGGGAGAAGATGTATGGACATTGGAGAGATCAAGGAAGAGGCAGATAAAGAGAAGGGGAGAAGATGTATGGACACTGGAGGATCAGGAAGAGATAAAAGGTCGTATGGACTGGAGATCAAGGAGGCAGATAAAGATGGAGGGGATGAGATCGAAGATGGACATTGGAGAGATCAAAGGAAGAGATAAAAGATAAGAGAAGGGTAAAGAAGATGTATGGACGCTGGAGACATCAAGGGAGAGGCAGATAAAGAGATGTATGGACATATGGCGGAGCACCCAGGAAAGGGGGATGGGAATAAAGATGTATGGACATCCGGGAAATCAAGAGAAAGGGAGATTAAAGTAAGCAGAAGAGGGAAGAATATGTATTGACATCTGACAGATCACGGGACATGTAGATAAAAGTAAGCAGAAGAGGAAAGACATATGGACATAAGAGAGATCAAGGGAAAGAAGAAAATAAAAGCTACAACCATTTCCATAATTAAAATAAAGGGTGGGAGAAAGAAGCTGGGGAAGTTGAGTGAGAAAAGTGGTGATGGGAATGACTGGAGAACACTGGTCTTAGTTCAATGTGCTACTCAAAATTAGCAGAGCATAATGTCCGGCCACCATATGACACAAACAAAGGCTCAAATCATTGCTGCTGATAGCTCCAATACCTTTAGTATATTGAGCTCTTTCTCTTGGCCTTTTAAATGTCGTGAATAGTTCTTGATTCCATATCCAAGGGTGTTCAATTTCCCTTTCATGTGACATTCTTTCTGAGTGTAAATGCCTCCATTTCCAACTGTAATTTGTTCGATGAAAAGATTACACTGTTGCCCTCACTTGGGGGCTGATGAGTGTCATACTCTACAATCTGCATTGTAAGTATTGATCTGTTGCTGTAGTGGATAAGATGGATTTCCAGGCACTGTCTGCAGATAGGATAGAACTCTTGTAGCAGATGCTCAATACAATAACAGTTATGTGACATATATAAGGGTGGCATTCAAAGGCAGATCAGGATTTTTTTAGAAAGGGGGTTCATGGAGTCCATAGGTTGACACATAAGGTGTCAGAAAATAGGTGATGTGTGGATCTGGATCTTCATGATGTGTGTTTTTTATGGACGCATTCAAGCACTGGCAGATATGTGTGGGGCATAGGAAGAAAGGGTATAACATCACCTTCAAGATGATTGCACTCATAAAGTGATGTGTCTGTGTGTGTGTCTGTCGATGTCAGTGTGTACGTGTCTGTGTCTGTGTGACCCTGGGTTAGTCTTCACTAGTCTTCAGTAACCCATGCTTGTCATAAGAGGTGATTAATGGGATCGGATGGTAAGACTTGGTGGCTTGGTTGATGCATGTCGTCGTAATCTAATTGCAGACATCAATGCTCATGATGTTGATCACTGGGTTGTCTGGTCCAAACCCTTGTCATATAGGTGGATTACAAACGGAAAAATAAAATCTGAGTATGTGTGTGCGTGCTTTTTGTACTAGGCCAGACTAATGCAGTTTAACTTGGATACTTTACTCACACACAGTGTACTGACTCTAAGCCAACCAGGGCCTAGATTTTCAAAGCTCTCTTAGCGCTAAGATAGTCAGAAGTTAATGTTAATGTATGGTACTTACGACTATCTTAGCGCTAAGACAGCATAGAAAATCTAGGCCCTGGAAGGGTAACAACAAGTACCATATCTTAACATCTTATTGTGTGATGTATCCGGGATTGAACCAACAAGTTTCTGTCTGGGCAGATGCTGTATCCACTAAGCCATAGAGGCAGTCCTCGCATGTGTGTGTGGGTGCCCCATCTATTGTTTTCAAACAGCTTACATGTCAACTTGAGATCCATCATGTGTTTGTTCACTTAAGACATGGGTAATGTGCATCCTCTTTTTAAAAAAACCTGGCTCTGCCTCTGTCACGACTCTTTTAAGTGAGAGATTTTGTTGATTTTGTAAATCTTTAAAAAATTAAATTGCATTTATGCTCAAAGACTCCTTATGATTGGCATTTAAATGATTTGCCTTCAATCTTATTTGAATTATGTTTGATGAGTCAGGTTGAACTGTGTTATTTCCCTGTTATGTTTGGCACTACCTGACTGCTTTGGAGTCATTGCATGACTTTGGAAATTACATCTGCAGCCTAACAGAACATCTAAATGTAGCTGGTTACCACACGTTGATGTCTGTGAGCATGTCACGTCATCCAATATCTCCCATCATGGCTGTACTTTAATGGCTAACCGAGACAGGACGGGGATTCTAATGACTTGCTGTGCTGTTATATTTATGGCGATTGGGGTCGATACAGAATGTTATGTACTTGAACATTATTTTGAGTGAGTGATGGAAGGAGGTTTGAACCTGCCTTTAAACCTGTTTCAGTCTAAATGATGTTAGTTGTACCTCAAAGAGTTTGTACCTCAAAGCATCATACAGTTCTTAGAGATCAATGATGATAAACAGGTTTAAACATTTGATCAGAAGATCCTGGTACAGCTAAGGGGAACAACTCAGTGTCTTGTATCCTTCCTTGCCATTCATGCACTTCATGGGGCGGTGGGGTAGCCTAGTGGTTAAAGGCTTCGCTCATCATGCTGGTTTCCCAGGTTTGATTCCCCACATGGGTACAATGAGTGAAGCCCATTTCTGGTGTCCCCCACCGTGATATTGCTGGAATATTGGTAAAAGCAGCATAAAACTGAACTCACTCACTCACTCACTCATGCAAAACATTATGGTTGCAACAAGACAAGACTTTTTCCACAATCATAAGAAGTATCTGCTCCAAGTAATTCATCATTATAGTCCAGTTCTTTTAAGATAGTGGAATGATGCCTAAAACAGAAGCATCTCAAACTGCATTGTCTCCTGAGATGTACAATTTCATTGTAAATGTAAGAAAATGATAATAGAGAAAATGAAAGAATAGCAAGTATAGCTACTATACTGGGCGGTCATTATTATTTCAAAGACTCAATAATATTGCCAACAAATCCCATCAAATAGACAAATTGACATGAAAACCTAGGACTTTGGGCTAAAAATCACTAACCTACTAAAATTGTTTAGTAAATCTTGTCATCATAGAAACAATGTCCTTTGGCACTCAAAGACATTAAACCTTAATTCATCTCTGAAGTTCTTGATATCCTTAAGACACATGTCCACCTAGAACCACAGACAAGCAGCCTCTCTGTCATTGAGATAGCCGTGAGTACAGATTTTTGAAAGAAACACCAACATTTATAATTGGCCAGATTTTATCAACTGATCTTTCAAATAATGCTCAAGATGGGTATTGGTCTGGTAATTAACCTAAATATTGTCAACTCTGCTTTAGTATCAAAAGCATTATTTTTGCAGTCCACAAAACAGAAAGCTTCCAAGTCGTCAGACGCTCATCAAATCCTGCACCCTTTTGAGAGGATTTGACAATCAGGACAGCACACTTGGACACAATTAAATGTCCAATCCTATCTGCAGGCAACCTCAACAGAGCCTTGACCACTGATTTAGTCTGTTATTGGTTCTAATCCATGTTATTAACAAGGCTTATCCGTCATATTTGTTAGTGTCAAAATTATCAGGCAAAAGGATTTAGTGGGCACATCTCTATGATCCTGTATCCTAAGGACATTCTGGTCTTTAGGGCATTCTGTGATGATGAAGGCAGACCGGCTGCAGTCTTCAGGAACAGGATCAATAGAGTTGGTTCTCAAGATGTCTTAGAAAAATAGGATTGTAAAACCAAAATATCATGGAAAGAAATTTGTAAAGAAGATTTATGTAAGCATGACAAATTCCTGATAAAAATTTCTAAGAAATGAGTTTATTTTATGTTTAATTAAGACAAGACAACATGATACGTTGAGGTTTTAACTGATTTAAGTAACCCAACATGTAATCAGTATATCTTTACAGTGACTTGTTACTGAAGGTTTTTGAAATTTTTTTTTATTCTGTTTTGGGGGAAATTGATCCTTTTCTCATATCCCTGACTGGCATAGATGATGTTATTTTAGTTCAAATTTATAATACTTTTGTGATGACTCTTTATGCTAGATTTATACTTAAACATTTGAATTGAAAATAAGAAATATGAACTATGCTGCTGAAAGAAATTATTTATATATGTGAAGTTGATTTTTGTTAGCAAGTCCTGTTTTGAGAAGTTGGTCACTTTGGATATTGAATGTCTTTGTACCCTTTGTGTTGTTCATGATATCAGGGGCGGTGGGGTAGCCTAATGGTTAAAGCATTGGCTCGTCACGCCGAAGACCCGGGTTCGAATCCCCACATGGGCACAATGTGTGAAGCCCATTTCTGGTGTCCCCTGCCGTGATGTTGCTGGAATATTGCTAAAAGCATCGTAAAACCAAACTCAGTCAGTCAGTCATGATATCAACCACTGGTTTGTCTGGTAAAGACTTGATTTTTTACAGTCTGCCATGCAATTGATTGTATATTGACAAATGTGATGTTAAACAATATCTCTTTCTTGGATATCTGGTGATTTTTGTCAGTAGTTAGTAGAGCTTTCAAAATTTAATATGGTAGCAATGTGAAGCATTCAAAATTTGACGTGTCAGTGACATAAATTATGTCTGATGCAATTCCCTATTTTGACTTGTACCATACGTTCCTGAATTGTTTCATATGAACATTTGACAAGCCTTTGTGACAGGTGTCAGCAATGGGGCAGCATATGCTCACCCTTTCACAAATACTTGGTATCATCACAAGTTTTATAGTCATTTAGTACAGGGTTTTTTGTGATAATGCAAATTTTGCTTTCATTTGCTTGAATTACTGAATATAATTTTGCTGGAATATTATTTCAATCATTCCATGGTTTGCTTAAAAAAATCAGGCCAGATGATACCATATTTTTGTAGGCAAGATCAAACAACAAAACCCCAATATTAGATTGTTCTGGCCTTACTAGGCATATATGCATACGAGACCCTTGACCAGTCAGAGCATTGGTAGTAACAAAGACTATACTTTGTATTAATCACAAAGACATTGACGATACCGGGAAATCTCAACAAGTTACGAGGAAATCACAACAAGTTATCTCCATCAAGAAAACATTGATTTTGCCATTACCCAGTATACATTTTCCTTTCAGCTTGAAAATACGAAAAACGATTTCTCGTCGCTGTTGTCACTGCTAATGGTG